ATATATATATATATATATATATATATATATATATATATATATATATATATGTGTGTGTTGATTTCTAATAATAGTTAACTTTAAAATAATTTTTTTCAGGAAAAAGAGCATTTTTATTTACCTTTTTGCCTTTATTTACTTTATTCGCATATAATAATCTAACAATTAAACATTTAAGTTATTTTTTAGTCATTTTTACGTATCTGCCGATAGGTTAGCTAATGTCACTAAAAATAAAAAAAAGATAAGTGGGACGTCCCACTATGACTCAAAGTGTTAAATGGAATATTGAGGTCGAAAGTAGGATTAAGATTTCAACGCGGAAACGCGTTTCTTGTATTTCAAATCGGCACACGAAAATGAACAGATCCATCAAATTTGCCCGAATTCTTCGTCACGTGAATCGTGGCCAGACAATGGTTTGCTGAGAGGCGAGCAATATTTCGAGATAATAGAAAGCCCCGTGCGCCGTGCAGACGAAGCAGAATCGACCGAAGCAATCAAAACGAGTTTAACGCTCTCTCGACCCGCGATTTATAAAGGTCCCCGAGATCTCTACTTGACATTTTAATAGAAGCAGCTCGCTCGCAAATGATGCCCTTTGCAGCAAGTAAAATCAGTTGCGCGAGATTTTATGAGGCCCGAGAGGAGCCGCGCTGATGCGAGCGGTTGCCTGATGGTAGTCGGGCCGGAGAGCGGTTGTAAAGGCGTCTCCTCTTTGAACAGGTTGTCCTCGACAACCAAGATGTGTTCTCAACGATATTACGTCCACGGCGCCACTGCGCCCACGTTTACGGCCCACGACTAAATAATGCGTCTTGCACCTGCAAGCCGGCTGCACCGCACAGCGAGACCCGCGCTGGTCTTCGCGAGAGGGAAACGACGACGATGCGGTGCTTTGCGCAATTTTGGTGATTTCGCGCTCGCGAAATCGGCCAATTTCACGCACACTGTGTATCATATTTCTCGGGACACGTTCGCGCAATGTTTGATGCAGCGAATAAATACAATTAATAGTAATAGATGGTATATCGCGATAACAGTAATAATGAAATACATTAATAGCTCGTGCACGCGCAATAAATATCGAGAGAGAGAGAGAGAGAGAGAGAGAGAGAGAGAGAGAGATGTATCCAATTAATAACGAACCGCCGTTACCCCCAGTTCTATCCGGTTACAATAATCGAATTTACGTTTAACCGAATTTGCGTTAAAAGACGACCCAAAAACCGCAACCGTGACACAGCCACGTTCTGTTATTATTACAAATCTCACCACATCGTTGAATAAACACAAAGCTGTCGGCAGAGCGAGAAATTTATAGATTCTGCGCGAATGGAACATACATGTCATAGACGTCCCGACCCCGCGTGCATCGCCTTAACGTATAAAAATTCCTTCGAATGTTATCGCTGCGCGGTGCAACAACGTCCGTCGTGTTTGCTCGCCAATGTTTATCAAATGGAAAAATATGCTCGTAGCAATTCCGGTAATGGTCAGCCGCGGCAGGTTGTTCGCGCTGCTCCTGTAAAAGGCTACTCCATCGAACGAGCGTGCCTGCCGAATGTACACTTTTTACAACGTTGTGCGCGTTCCCTCACCCCCGTCTTCCTGCCTCCCCTCCTTCGACACTGTCAGCCCGCCGCCAACAACATTCGCGAATTCGCCAAGTTATTGTTGTTCCTAACACACATTTTCCCGACCGTCAAAACAGTCATCCGTCAATGCGCGAGTATACATAACGCGCATCTTTGCACTTTCGCCCTTCGAGGGCCCTTTCTTTTCTTTTTCTTCCTTTCCGGAGTTTGTGCGACGTAAAAAATACTTGAGAACATTTATTTGTGGGATAAAAGTTTATTTCACAAAAATAAACTTAGTTTCAAAGAGATATAAACTTTATATTCCACAAAAAAATTTTTTGTAGTATTCTTTTCGGTGTACGTGCATCCAATTTGACAGATGGGATTTTTTTGTAGGTATTACGAGAGTTAGTTGAATAAATTACGCCACGTTGGATAGATTACTGTGGCTTTGTTTAAAATCACACAACCGAAGTCACACGGAGAAAAATCCTCGGGTTATATCTGAACAAAAGCACGAATGCTATTTGATGATCGTTCGGAAAACAGGTTACCGTTGCAAATCGTTTTTCGTCATATGTCATTTTAACAAATGTACATCGCCTGAGATACACATCACATTTGTTCTCACCTACTTAGGGTTAGATTGCTTATGTCTCCATTACTGAAGTGTTGTTTAGAACATTTAAATGGAGGGTAACAAATCACTTGTTCCAATTGGGGTCATTTGCTGTTCCATATCAACAAATCATTTGTTAGCAAATTAGCAGAACTTTTTCTCTTAGTACACCGAGCCGTGTAATATCACGTTTCTCTCCAGCTTATTAAAATACAATCTAGATATACGAATTATATTGCAAGATATACGAATTATATTAGATATATGAATTATATGTTTACACGGAGAGATATTGTCGCGTTAGCTAAGACGTGGTAAGAACTCTATTATTGATGTATAAAAATTATTAATTGACTGATTTGCCGTCGCATAATTTAGCCTTCTAATTCGTTCATATGCGCCAAATAATCGCAATTATCTGTATAACAAGGGGAGGGCTATAATTGGAAACGTTATTTTTGCGCAAAACTTATACGAAATTGTAAGATTCGAAAAATTTCCAAAACAATCGGTATTTGGACGTATCCTTAGTCAATAGGTTTTGAGAAAACTATATTTTTATGTTGCACAAAGAGTGCGGCCAAGTTTAGCCCCATTTCACGTCATTCAACATCTTTATTATTTTTATACTATATCTAAATTATATCTAAATTATTTTTTACTAGCACTTAGCTATTTTACAACGGAATTACTTTGCGATTAAGTTAATTGAAGCTTGGTAAAAATCACCCTCTAAATTAATAAATATTATTAGCATTTATAATCCATATTATTTCATTGGTAAAGATTTTCTTTCCATTCCTTGCAACACTTTCTAATGTTTTTTTCCTGTAAAGATTTTAACAATACTATTTATTTTGACAGAATATATATCTTTTTGGGCCATTTTCTGCCAAATGGTGAGACACATCATTTTGATACTTATATATCTTTAATGTATCCATTACACAATATAGCTACTATTTTATAAAAAAATAATTTAAGATTTTGAATGTTACGAAATGGAGTTACTACTAAAAGTTTTCTTTGTTTTCTAAAACAATAAACTTATTCAAATAATAACTAGAAAAAAGTCTCATATATCGAATGAAAGAACTCTATAAAAGTATTAGAAAAGAAATTTTTCTGCAGTGTCGGGAATTAAACCTGGATCTCTCGCGTACGAATCTCGCGCGTTGCCACTCGGTTGAATTTGCGTCAGTAGAACCGATAAGGTGCTTCAAGAACCACAATTCATCGAATTCTACAATTTGGTATAAGTTTTATGCAAAAATGACGTTTCCAACTCTGGCCCTGCCTTTGTGAGACTAAATTCGTGGTTTACTCACCGTGCAGCAGCATTGTGAGAAAGAAGATGCAGATCATTTTGAAGGGTATATGCCGACCGATCCCATTCGTGCTATACTGCAAATCCATTCCCAATGCTTTCACGGTCCATCGTTTCCGGTACATTTCGCGTCGCCAACCTCCTCAAAGTCCAACCGCGGTGACGTATCTTCCTATGTGACGATAAAAAGAAATTCACTTTCTCACTGACAGCCCAAACATTTGTCACTTGTTCGTATTATTTCTATCAGTCAATTTGCGATGTCTCACGTAAAGAACGACGAGTATTGTTTACTTTGTAAACAAAGAGCGACAACGTTGCTTGCGAATCGAGAAAATGAGAGATCTCTTTTTTGCCCTAAGATCGATAACAATTTCAACTATTTCATCCTGGAATTAAGGATAAAAGCGTCGTATCTCGGATCTTCACGTGAATCGATTAATAGCGTGCATAAGGAAAAACTTTAACTCCCTCTATGTTGGATTTCTTAGACACAAATGAAAATACTCGATCGTCATCACCAACTTTCGTAAAAAGTTCAGTTTAGAATTTCCAAACAGCGCAGATCTGTTTGTAGATTTTGATTTTATTTCGCTGTTCTCTTGCAGCTGAGACTTTTTCTACAGAATGCTTGACACAAGACATACAATACAACATGTGAAAGTAGAGCACGCCAATCTGAGCAAAAGGACTCCTGCAAAAAATGACATTTTGCAAAAAATCACACGAAATTTCGAAATATTAATGAATAAAGATTAACAAACCAGAGCACGCAATGTTGTGGAATGAGCTCTAAGCGCAAGATCTAATCGAAAATGGTTCAAAAGTACAATTGTCTCTTATAAATAAGCCTCGGGGAACATCAAACGCCAATTTGTCTCCAATTTTTTGCAGTTATTTTTCATGTCAAAGTATGAAGAAATCAGTAATCACGTTTATCAAATTGATTTTTAAAATTTTTTCGAAATTTTTGAAGTTTTACACAAGTACATTATTTTACACATAATCTTATGATATTCCCCGAGGTTTACTCGTTAGCATAGATGAGCATCGGCTGACAGCTGAAGGCGAAGTAAGGATGTGAGCGGAGACAATTTTTCTTCGACAATCGCGAGTATGTTGTGAGTGTGTCGCTAAGAAACGCGTTTTAACCATTTTCAATGAGATATCGCACTAATAGAGCTTGTCCCACGATGTCGCGCGCTCGCCAATCTTTTTTTCAATATTAATAAAATTTTTTACGTGGTTGTTTGCAAAATGTCAGAAATCATTGTGCTCAGGTTGATGTGATTCACATGTGATTTCGCATGCTTGCATCAGACACCCTGTATATCTCTGGAAAGAAATGTGTCCAAAAATATTAATTTCCAACAAGGTCATAGTAGTTTAAAGTTGTCCAGCTCTAACAGATCCAGACCTTTTTTTACTGTACGTCTAAAAAAATATTTCTTATATACAGAATTTGATTGCGGAATACAGAAATTAACGCGAGAAAATGATCTTCTCCGCAATCAGGTTAACACATCTCGCATTATATAACGATGTACTTGATACCATCCCGAATTACGCAACGAGGCGTTATATGCGAGTATGCGCAATTACTCGAGAAAGTAATTACTTCCGGAACGATTACGATTTCAAGCGGCGCAGCAAAAACGGGCAGCGAGAGACGAGCGTTTTAAACACGTAGCGCGTCACGTCGCGTCGCGTTTCTACTCGCATGCTCCTGAAAAGTGTGCGTTATTTGCCTTCGCGAGAGGTAACAGCAGAGCCAGTAACAGGATCAACAACACAGGTCGAACGCGTAAACGAGCGCGAAACTGCGCGATATACGCCGCTGACCCTTCGTTTAAGTTTACATTAAGTGATATGTCGGGCACGCTCGATCGAAAACGAACGTGATTTGATTCCAATTGTATTCACGCGTCGGTACTCGATAGTAGGGTGTTACTGGCCCCCTACCGGCAAATCATACAGTCGGCAGAATTAATTCGGTATGCACACACAACACGGCCTGGGATATTAATTTTGCTTGTCATTGGATTTCAGTGAGTGCGTCCGCATCCGTGCGAGGGCAGTTACTACCACAAACCAATTGTGCTTCAATGAGGCTGAATAAATAGCTTAATCTAACCTACCGAGCCATTGGGTGTTGGAGGATATTAAAAGATTGTCTCAACAAGATAGTCTGTCAATGACCGCAGTAGTGGTATCGCGTCGAAATTTCCGAGTCATTTGCTTGCATTATACAATCAAATGATAAAAAATTAAAAATTATGTTCTAAACAGTGATGATTAGTGTCGAGAAACACTTGAAAATATATCGGAAACACAGTCAATATCAAGGAATATTTACAATTAAAAAGAATTTATTTATTTTTTTTTAGAATAGTGCGCTTAAAAGAAGCAGATATACGTGCTCATTGAGAGATCATCGAGTTACCTGAGAGTGGGACACTGTAATGCAAGATTTCAGAACAGTGGTTCGCACACAATAGTCGTAACGAAATATTCACGAGACATCGACCACGCCGAAGCGACCACGTGTCCGCTGCCTTCACGGTTCATTACTCCCGCTCCGGTTGAAGAATTCACACGTGCGTCCAGAGGGACACCGGTAGCACTCGCGATTAATAAGAAATCCCACTTTAACGCGCAAGCCGGGTTCGTCGTCGTCCTCGCCGTCGAGTTGACACGCGGTCGTCGCGTGCTCGCGTCTAATCTTCGAAATCGCTCCGCGCACTCCTTCCTCTTCGTCGTCGCAATTGCACCACTGTACGCGTCGTTCGTTGCCAAACGGGAACATCTCGCGAAATAGCACAGCCCTCAGGAGCAGCGGACGCACCTTCTCGCCCCTATCAGCTGTCACGAATGAACGAGCGCGGGGGAACGAGTCCCACGTAATCACAGAGAGAGAACTGGCGCGTCACTAAATCCTTCCATCGCAGCTGGCCCGTACTTCCACGTGGACGACTGCAGCTCTCGCGCGAGGCGCATCTTCGCGGGGATCGTAGCCGGTGTGTGACGTACGATCGCGTGAAAGGGCTACGTGGGACCGCGCGCTACTTCCGTCCCTCTAAAATGTCGTTCATTCATCATACCGCACGCACACTAACACGCCGCCTCGCCAACACCTTCGTTTACACGCGCGGCGGTGGGGGGTGAGCGGGTGTATGCACCGCTGTCGTGTATGCACCGGTCGCGAAAGGGCGGCAAGTGGAGTGGGGCGAGGGGTGGAGGACAGACGGGCGGACGGGGAGGAGGGGGTGCCAAAAGGGGGTCGAGCGAGGGGGGAGACAGGGAACGATAAGGGGGTAGGGAGCGAGAGGGAGAGATAGGTGCGTAAAGAGACCGGTGGGCGAAATGCTGCCGTGGTGGAGACCGCGACCCAACTGCGCCAGCGCTTAGCTAGATATCAGCCCCCGACCACCGACGTCAACTCTTACCACCACCAACCCCCCGCGATGCCCAACCGTGCCGACTCTCACCCCTACGTGCCACCCCTCTCGTGCGCGCCGTCATAGTCCCAGCGTCGCGTCGTCGACGACTGATTGTGAGAACGGCTGGCGTCCGCGATGGCATTTCCTATTACTAGCGCGAACACTGTCATCGTGATGACTTTTGTGCAGAGCCGCTGAGCGCGCTCTGTTCTAGTTCTGTTACACGGGTTATTAAGGTTGTTAACGGAATAAACGCGCGGCCGCGGCTACAAACCGGCCGTTATCGCGCCTCGAGTTTGCCGATGTCGTTCGCGATATTTAACGGCGTACGAACCACAACCGGCACCGTATGTACGTGGGTGGGTGTGGTGTCGCCCGGAAGAAAATTTATCGGCACAACTCCGAAATATTTCGGGCGTTTTTCAGTTCGCGCCGGGCGTAACGCTTTTTCAATGGATTGTCACTTCGGCGCATGCCTGACGGTTAACCCTTTCGCTATCAATTTTGTTTTTTAGAGGTACAATTTTTTTTTATTTTCACTCCACTGAGTACATTAGTATAATGTAGTTTTAGCAAAAAAAGTTTTAATTTAAAATTTTGGCGCTGAACAGTCGGGACACTCACTGATGTCCTACATGGGTTTTTGCGAGGGCATATTTGTCCCAATAATAAATCTCAGTAATAGGTAGAGTGATAGCTGATGTGTTCTGAATGCCAAAAAGCTATTTCCAATTAAACATGGAATAAGGTTATCATTAATACTGAGGAAAACATATATTTCGTTGATAGCGAAAAGGTTAACGTACCGGTTATATATCGTATTATAATAATATTGTTTATATAATAATATTGCTTATAATATTTACTTATAATAATTTATAATAATTTATAATAATATTGTATGTTGATATTTATTTCTATCTCATTAATTGAGAATGAGACTTTTGCGCAATTATTGTATAACATAATTTGCGATATTAAAACTATAGGAATTACTATAAGATATAGGCCTATATACTATAGGAATTATTATAGGATGGCGATAATTTTCAAAAATATTTACAGAGAAAGGGGAACCACAGATACGCGACCAACTTCTTATATTGATACCCGTTATTAATAAAAATAAATCGCCGTTATTAATAAAAGGAAAAATCATTAGGAACTGCTAGAAAGTCATTATTGGAGATTTTTTCTCCTATCAAATTTAAACTCCATCTATCCGGACGCTAATATTTCCGCCATAATTAATATGATATTACTATCGATTAGCGATGTTCATGGCTTCCAGGCTTTAACCTTTCATCCCTTACCAATAATCCAACTGCATGGTTACTGGCGTCAGCGTTAACTGCGACGATACATATATATATGTATAGACGACGGTATTTATATTAATATTCAGGCTATATTGCCGCTGTGCAGGTTTTATCGCTTAATTCCGTTTCCGCCTTTTGATGATTATTAATTCTATCGTTGTGCACGCTGTTGAATTCTACAAAATCATAAATCGAGCTAAATCGTTATTTATCGCGCGACAAATTGTCATGTTTTATTTCATCACAATATTTAGATAATTATTGTGACGTTATGACAGGCAACATCGACAGCTAACGTCATCGGGGATTGTAACGATACCGCGTATTCGTGGAATATTTGCTCGTTTGCTATCGCGTCCTTCCTCTCATTGGATTACTGAATAAAGTATCATTATGGTGCAGTTCTCTCTTTTTGCAACTATAACAATCACGATGAATAATTTATCTCGTCCTGGCGGTAACGAGGCGGCTTGTCCTTTTTCTCGTGTTACTGTATGCGCGATCTGTATAGCCACGGAAATCGCGGACTCTCGCGGAAGCCAACGATTCGAAAGTTTGTCCGGCATTTCTCCGAATACCAAATTCTCTCTCATCGATTATCCGCGTTCTACTCGGGTTTCATTTTCTCATATTTTCCCGGAATATCTTGCCGTAAAAGCGCAGAACGGCATTTTTTGTGCTTGAATACTTCGAGGAAGATAGCGTGTTAAGAAAATGTGTCTTTCTTTCCCTTCCTCTCTCTATCTCTCTCTCTTTCTCTCTTTGGCATTCTGCCTCTCTCCTTCAGTATCGTATCGATCATCGATATCTTTCAGGGAGCTCGCTTCGGCACCCTCGATCCCCGCTCACGGCGCACAAGTCGCAAACTCGTAAATACCGAGATGCTGGGGAGACGGTGCACGGAGCGAGGGCACGGAGCAATTTTCGCCGTATCTTGCAATTTTCATGCTGCTGCAAATGGTTGTGTATGGCCCGCGCAGAAGGCGAGGCACGCTTCGCAGGTGTTTGCGACTTGGGTGTGCCGGGCGATGATGACCTCGTTAAAACGCCTTTTAATCCCGTGCGGCCCGAGCACATCGGCAACGTCCGCCAAACAAAGTTTTTCAAAATATTTTTCCCGTCATAATTCATCGATCTCGAACGCAAAGTTCCAGCGAGACCAAGTCAAGAGGTAAAACTAGGAGAAACGACATGTTACCAAAATATTCCTCCGTAGAGTAAGCGTCTGATCGTCTCAATTAATATATCAGATTGATCCATAATTTTGTGCAGTTTTTTGTCTAGTTGGCACTCGCATGTTGATGTTCATATGATAGTTCTGTACAGTTGGTCATCTATATATTTTTGATAGTTGATATTTCGGAGCATTTTGTGGTATAAATGATAATGTTTAAAAAAATATAGTTTTTGTAGCTAGAAAATATAAGGCAGTAATGAGTCTTTCCTTACATTATGTTTGTTTATTTTCTTAAAAATTGTTAGAACTTGGTTCTGAAAAAATGGCAATCAATCCATCAAAAGAACATGATACTAATAATTGATCAATACGATAAGTAGATACTCCTGCTTTTTTATAGTTCTGAATATTAAGAGTTATGTTGTTGACCTAATTTTGATTTAAAACTTTTGTCCACTATGTTATTTAATGTTTTCTAGCTTGTTACGTTTGAAATGCATTTCATGAGTTAAAAAATAAGTAGCAGTATCGTTATTGTGTGCTTTACTTAATAATAAAGTTATATGCTGCGCTTCAGTTCGATTACACCAATGTTATTTTGACTTTAAACGAGACTTTACACTTCAAATTTGTTGTATTATATCAAAACTAAAACAACATTGAAAGTGTTTTCATGATTATTGATCTTACTTATTGTGCTCAGAAAGTCGTTTAACTAGATATTTCTCGAATAGATTATTAGAGTAATTTCGATTGATCCTACTCTACTTAACGGATTGGATTTCTGAACGCACTCTTTGATGGTGTATAAACTTCGCTTCTTTAGGGTCCGTATTAATAGTCATAACTTGAAATTTGTCTCATATGAGATACTCAAACCTGAATTTAAAGTTGGATTTAAATTTTTCTTTTAAATCATATAATATATGCGAAATTACATTTATAATTGCGCGATTCAGCAAAACCTCACACTTATCTCTAAATTCAAATCTGAATATCTCACGTGAAGTAAGTTTCAGGCAACGACTATTAATACGAGTTTTAAAGATGTGAAAACTCGTTTGAAATGTTTTTTCGCTGGAAAAGCAAAAGAGTTTTATGAAAGGAGAATTATGAAATTAAAAGAGATCGTCAGAACACAATGGCGTACATGTAAAATTGATTAAAATTGATTAAAATTGTTTTGAAGGAGAATAAAATACATTTTAATTTTACTTAAAAATCCGCACAAACTTATAGATCAACACAACATTTTATTTTGAAGAATAACGCAAGAGAAATCTTTAATTGTCTGCACAGTATACGCGTATATCTTCGTGGATATTCTTTCCCGAACACGATGCGGCTATGTGTCTTTCTACTTTAAGTTAACCATCGTGATAAGCAAACACGACAGTCTACCGGTTTAGTCAAGAAATCTGATATCCGTTCTACCTGCATGCGGTAACAATTAAGCGCATTAGCGTAGTAGCCGCAAATGCCACGGCGAAACTTCGCAGAAGGTATGCCGCCCGAAGTGGCCACCGCCGTGGCATTAGTTGACAGTCTTTGTGGCAGTAACTGCTTCCGGTTTACGCTGACATTCCACTTACGGCTCCAATCCGAGAACGAGGATCAGAAGGCTGACGGCGCGTTAATGCCCATGGCTGAAAGGGATACGGATTGCAGATTGCACCTCCCACGACTTGGCGGCACCTGCCGCTACATCGGTAAACTGGACTCTCACGATATCGCGCGATGTTGTTACCGCAGAGATGCAAATTCGCCACCGTAGCCCGTACTCCTCGATCGTTCCTGTCATCACGATCTTCAGTATCATTCGTTTATAATCTTGCAATGCAAGATTATCCGAGTCTGCATTTGACCTTTCTTCACTATGCGTTTGTTTAACTCTTTAAGTCATAGTCAGACGCCAGCATCCCACCTATCTTTTTATTATTTTTAATGATTTTAGCTAACTTATCGGCAGGTATAGTCGATTATATTATTACTATGAACTCTCATATAAACACAAGGAATTAAATATAAGTACACTTAGTAAATTTTTAAAATATTTAAAAATTAAAAAATATTTATTAAATGGGTACTATTAATATATTTACTTAAATCAAAATTCTTTTCATTTAAACCGAGTATTATTTATTCGGTTTAAGTAAACAATACTCGGTTTAAATAAAGTAAATTTTTATTTAAGTAAATATATTAATGGTACTCATCTAATAAATATTAGTTAATTAAAAAATTTTGTTCTTAGAGTAAAGAATAATTTGAATGTTTGAATAAATTATTGTAGGTAGATAAAAGCAAAAAAACGCACTTTTTTCAGACAAAAATAATTTTAGGGCTAACTATTATAGGAATCAACATATCGAACCATTAACAATTTATTAAGAACAATTAAAAATATTTTACAAATTTCTTTCAACATTTTTTTGCAAACCTCCTG